TCGTGAGCTATTAATTAATTATTATTAATGGCATTTTCATTAATTAACTCATATCTCCGTCAAAAAGGCGCATGGACCCAAACCAACTTGGGGTTTTTCACTACTGACTATTCCCTACATGATGAAAATAGTCTGAGTCGAAAAGCTTTTAATCACCTCGAGAGGTTCCCTCGTCAGTCAAACCAATCTTTCTTTTCACTGACCTTGTCTGAGTTTTGGATTTCGTTTTACTTTTCAGAATGTCATTCATAACAACATCTGAAAATATTCATTGTAAACTATGTACAAAAGGTAATATTTTATGCAAAGGTTGTCAAACGACCTTTTCAAATAATCATTTTCAACGGCTTCAACAAGAATTAGGTGTACAACTGGATGATCTTAGTAATATATGCAATTCTCTTCACAATCCACTTCTTTCTTCAACTACAAATAACAACAAACAACAAACAAATCTTATTGAGAAAATTGATCAATGGGAAGAAGAGACAAAACAAAAAATAACACTAGTGGCCATAGAAGCACGACAAAAGGTTGAACAGAATATAAATGAAATACTAGATAAAAGGAATAAAGACATCGGTTTAATATCAGATGAAATTCGTGAAAGTAAAAATAACGATGATTATAGTGAACAACGTTTACGTCGATGGAATCAATAATTAAAAAAACTAAAACAACAAGTTGAATACATAACAATATCTACTTTAAAACTTGATATTGAAATAAAAAAAGAAATTAATTGGTTATCAATGATTAAAGTTGTTGAAACAAAAGTCAATTTAAATCAATTAGAAACAATGAAACCACGAACGATTATTGATTTTCAAAGTAATGGTAAATGGAATATTCTTGGCTGTTCAAATAAAACATTTTTACAATATATAAGTGGCTTAAATCAATTGCATTTCTACAATGATAATGGTGATAATGATGAACCGATTCACTGGTCTATTAATGAACATATAAAAGATATATGTTGGTCATCTCATTTAAACCAATATATTCTTTTAACACCAACTCAACTCTATACAATGAATAATAGAGAAATAAATCAAAGTCACCCAATACCATCACAGTCAGAAAGCAAATTATTGAGTTGTACGTGTTCCAATCAAACATTATTATTGAGTTACGATAGTGGGCAATACGAATAGAAGAATATGACATTTCTAATTATCGATTGATAAAATATTGGTGTATTAATAATAACGAATCTGTTCGAAGTATTCGTTATTCTCTAAGTAACGATATGCATGTTGGTCTAACAGTTTGCGATAAACAAAACAATCATAAATTTGAGTTACGTAATAGAACAATGAATATACTACAATTAATTCATTTGGATTTTAGTGAAATAATTCGATTTTTATTACCAGTTCCATCTCTAGGTGGTTGGTTAATACTTTATCAAAATAAAACAATGAGTTTAATTAATGACGAAGGTACATCAATAGAGACTGTTGAATTTAGTTCTGATATATTAAAAGCTATTTTTCTTAATGATTCTAATTGTTTAGTTCTGTCAACAGAAAACAAACTTTATTTTTATGATTTATGATTTACTCTTATTATTCCTGAATGAATCTTATTCCAGTGTAAAAACTTTATTAAACAAAACACAATACATCTTTTTATATAATCGTTAAATTATTGTTGTTTATCCTTCATAGAAAAAAACATGCACAGTTACTAAAAGAGATGTTATTTTTTTCTACTATAAATGAAAATATAAACATAACTGATGGCATGACTGAGCTATACTGTTTAAACGTTAAGAATAATCAAAATTATAGTTGATTAAAGTGGAGTGGTTACGGGAAAGTTAGTCATTATTATAGACATGAACAACGTTGACGTATCGGTTTGCTGAGATAGTAACAAGTATTTCGAATCTTAGACTGCCCAGTTACATTTTCTTAAGACTCTCTTATATATCATTCTGCAGCCCATGAAATGCTCTATCAGATGGAGTATAATAGGTTGTGACAACCCTAGTGAAAGTACTCATACGATGAGTACGACTTTACTCATAATTCGTCCATGAGTACTCATATTGGTACTACTAACAATTTCTGAGTATTGTTACTCAGTGAGTACTCAGTTACTCATGTGAG